AAAAAAAAAAAAAAAAAAAAGGGGGTCTGTACTTGAGCAAGGTTACCAATTATAGCTTTAGAGTTTATGTGTTGGAATGTTGTGCAGGATTAGGAGAAAATGTAAGTACGGAGGTCAAGGGTTCAGGGATGGATGCTTCTAGTGTTGTTTTAAAAAGGGATATGGCTACATAAATGTATCTTCAGATTGCCAAGAACACAACAGAGTTTTAACAATATCTGAGTAGTTGGGGACAGACCAACCAAAATAGCTTACTTCATTTCAGGCGAGACTACATATCTAGTAGATCGATAGGATCTATTATATATCAAGAGTTAGTATGCCTGAGGAGGTGCCAGTCTCTATTGTGTCAGACCGTGACACTAGGTGCTTGTGCAACAAAGTGGTTCACTTAGTAAAAGTCTCATGGTATACCCATTGCGATGAAGAGGCAACTGGGATCGTGAAGAGATATGAGAAATGTCTATCCCAAGTTCTTCCGAGAGATATCAACTTTCGAGGACGAAAGTTTTTAAGGTGGGGAGAATTTGTAATACCCGAGCCTCAATTGAAAGTTTAAAATCTAAGTTTACCTTAAAAGTCGATCTCTCTCAAGTTTATTGAAGGTCTTAAAGACCAAAATCCGAGATGAGAGTGAAGAGAAAAATGATGAGGAATAAAAGAACGGAAGAAAAATATAAAAGAAAAATAATAGAAAACTAAAAGGATCGTCAAGGTAAATCNACGCGAGCCGAGCCGACCGGATCAGGCCGGGCCGGCCGACCCGCGACTGTGCAGAATTGGGCGCGCGTGGCAGGCGCGCGTGCAGCCTGCGGCTGGCGCCTTTCCGCGCGCGTGGCCACGCACTTCCAGCGTGCTGCTGGGTGCGTGGAACGGCCAGTTTGGCCCGGTTGTTTTCTGTTTTCTCGATTTTTGTCCCGGCTCCAGTTCTAATACTGTTTTTACGTGGATAGGGACTTAATTTAGAGAAATCAGTAGTTTTGGACACCTCACGGGCAAAGAAACGCTAGCGAAAGGGCACGCGTCAACCAA